TAGAGTAATGAGGACTCGCAAGTCGTTACCATAATTAGCGCATTATCAGTTCTTGGGAGTTTTTCTTACTTTTCAAAGTGCAATTTGCGAGTAAAATGTCGGAACACCGGACTGAGGGTGATGGCTGAGACGATGCCGACGCGAACAGCTGCCAATAGACCGCAAAGAATGGGGCGTGTGATTTTTAGAATCCGGTCTTGAAAGCAATGCTGGTAGTGTTCCGCGAATACTCTGAAACGATTTGCGTATACAGTAACGAGAAATAATTTAAAGGCAAAACTTGAAACCAAAGTTCGAGTCCTTGAACATTTATTTCTCATGATTTTTTTTTCGCTCCTCGATATATGAACAGCATTCAAGCCCATGTGCAGCAGAACTTCCGAGTTCAGCAGGTTCTAATTAGAAGACATAATCTAGTGATGGAAGGCTGTTTAGGTGTGCACATGAGCATTCAATTAAAACTTGAAATGCGTTCAAGTTCAAAATTTATTTTGGGTAGTCTATTTTTCTTCAAACCAGTAAGTATACGAGTAAATTGGAAATCAACTTTTTTTTGTGAAATGTAGTGATCATTTAAGATTTGTGAAAGTTTCTTATCTTTGGCCTTGGGAGCGAAAGAAGGTTGAAAGCTTATCAATTTCGATGCTATTCGCTGATGGAATTTAAAATATCCATGATATGTAGCATGCAAACTTTGAGCATTTCGAAGTATGTAAATGAACATTTATTTGAGTCCACTTGGAGCTATATGCGGAATTACATAATTTTTGGAGATACAGCACTGTATTTCAGTTCGAATGCAATTTTCTAATTATTTTTGCAGCTTCTTTAGAGGAAGTTTTAAATTGTCGAAGAACGGCAATGTGAGAGTTACCGCTTCAAAAGCGATTCGAGATTCAATTTTAACTATTTTTTCCCCAGAGTTCCTAGTTTTCAACTGCTTGAAAATTGGTCCAGAATTGTCTAGGCTACTCTAGGCCATCCTGTACATTGCAGATAGAATTATTGGGAATATTTTGGATACTTCTTCCCAAGGCGCAGTTTTGTGTCGAAGAAAATGAATCCGACGAATATTTGGCAAATCCAATGTTCCATGTCCGAGGAAGTTCTACGGGATGCAGCTTGGAATTTCTCAAAAATCGGCAGTATTTATATTCATTAATTTATATGCAATATAAGTCATATTTTAGTTGCAATGGTCTGAAAGGTTTTTTTTTTTTTGTGTGTGTAAATGGAGGTTTATTACCCCTATAAAGAAGGAGCTAAGCAGTTATCGGAGCCACAAGTTAAAAGTGGATGAAGGCTCCGCGTCGAAAGGCCTTGCCATTACTTAACGCTCTCATACTTACTTGCTCCCCGTGGACCATTATTAGGCGGTTTATCTGTTTGATTGATGGATTTCCCTTTTCCCTCGATTTTCTTTGCAGAGGTGCTGTTCGAGACCATTTGCTTCAGTGTTGATCCTTACCTCAGGTGAGAGCTGATGGTCCTTTCGACCAGCTTCTTTGGTCAGGGCATTGCCGCAAGGCTTTCCTTCTTCGGGAGAATATTTCGTGATTACCGGAACCAGCTTTTTTTTCCCCTCCTCTTGCTTTCGTTCCCTGCCGAAGTTCCTGCACGAATCACACCCAACTTCTCTTCATTTCAATGCGAGGCTCAAATTTTCTCACGAGTTACGGATTGATATGGTTTTAATTGCTAAATTATATGTCCGAAGAACTCGACTGACGTCGATTGGCCCCATCTATTCTTGATTATAAATATAATTTTCGACGGTGTTGCGCGTCAATAGTTCCAGATGTGAGATTGTTTTTCCGTGATTACTAGGTCAATTTATATCGAGTTTCCTAACATCCAGTAAAGCCAGAAGTGAAAGAAAATCAATGGAAAACTTCTTCTACCATATCCTCTGAATAAAATGAAACTTTAAGAAAAAGTTTTTGAAATACTAAAATGTTTTGAAAAATTAAAAGGAAGGATTTTATTTATTGAAAATTTCCCAAAAGAAAAATGTCTGTCTCTTTCCAGTTCTTGAGCGATTATTCAAGAAGCAAATTTCAAATCTGTTTCTTGCTCAACTACAGTATCGAAATTTGCGTGTAACTTCCAGATTTGCGGGAAGTCCGTCGAAGTCAATGATGAAGGCATTCCTATTTGACCTACCCTGAAAGAGGTTTAAACTTCGGTCGGGAATGTTTCATTTCGAAGCAAAAGGAAGAGTTTAAAATTAATGCCGCTTGAATGTGTTAACGAAAGAAAGTCTATATAGCTTTTTGAAAGAAAGTAAATAAAAACTTCCTTGAATTTATTTATTTTTTGCTGGTTTTTAATTGTTATTCGGTGCAGTATTTTTTACAAGTCTCGGAGACAGCAGTGAAAGATGTCTTAATGGAGGAACTTTTTCCGAAGCTTGATGAGATGACTCAATATAATTAGCCATTAATCTCCCGGAATTTTGAACTCGCCTGTTGGAAAAAGGGATTCGGTGATTTTTTTTTTTTTAATCTTCTTTGGTCGACAAGTTTTTCGGTCCATCGACTTCCGAGCAATTTACCCGAACCCCGAAAGAACAAGCATCATCTCAGGCATGTCTCGGGGCTCCTGTAGTTTCCTGGCGGAATGTCGACCTATGTCGGCTCTTGTGTTGTGATCCGATCCGTTTCGCTCTCATTTTTTCCGTCCCTTCTGCTTTCAACAGGGTCCACGGCGAGGTGGTGGGAGACTCGGGAATCGACGGGAAGAAAGTCATGCACGGGACTCAAGTCGTGAAGTAAATATTGACCCGGAAAAACAAAAACCCGAAAGTGGCGTTCAGTGTTTGCCTTGCACCAGCCGAGGCTAAAGTGGCTCAACGGGAGCCGACGACGATAGTGCCGGTTCGTGGCCGAAGGGCAAAGGGACCCTGGGCACTCCCGGGACCTGCTAAAGCAGCGCCTGCTAAAGCGACGGGTTCAGTAATAATGTAGTTTTCGAGAATGAGGGGTGTCCACAACTGTAAAGAGAGAATATAAAAAGAAGGAAAAAATGATTGCGGTGGCCCTGGAACACCAGACTTATATTATGGCTATTGATGGCCGACAGTAGGGCTGCTTGAGAAAAGTCGGGCATTTTCTCAAGAAGCGTGAAACGCATAAATTGCGAGATGGATATACAGTACAGTATTTTCCAGCTTTATTCCGTTTCAAAGGTTTGAGTAACTAGTCTGGCTGCCAGAAAAGCCTAGTCTTACAGAAGCTCGAGAATGTATTTTGTTACGGGGAATATATTAATATGCGGTAGGAATATAAAATCTAGTTCTATGCCCTTGTCCGTTAGTACTTGTATAAGGTCACGATTTGAAAAAAAACACCAGAAGTCCATTCTTTTGAAAAAAGGGATACAGTAATTTTCTACACTGCATAGATCGCAGAGAAGTTTGTCTCCTAAAATGGTCCAGACTTTGAGGAAGCGTGAAAATTTTATCAAATAAAAGGTTATTCAGTACTCGCATCTTCCCCCTTTTTTGGTTGCTGCTCAAAAAGTTTTTGAACCATCATTCTGACTGCCAAAATAAATTATGTTATCCTTTTAATCACCCCACAAGTGGATGCCCAAAATCGAGGTGTGGCCTATTTAATGGTGTGAACTGATTATGTTATAGCAAAACAAGATCTAATTTAAGGAACAATTCAATGCGATTAATTTCCCGCCTGATACGAATCCCCATCACCACAGGGGATCAGCCCAGATAATAAGTCAAGTCAATTGCAGGAACATAATTTTGATGATTTGAAATTTGCTGAAGAATCGTAGGCTGGATTTATTTGCTCTCAGGTCATCTGAATTAGAGCAAAAATTAAAGGCCATACATTTCACGACTGAAACGAATTCACATTCCATGGAAATCTCTAAAGGGGATCAGATAGTATAAATTGTAAATTCCAAGAACATCATTTTGATAATTTTAAATTTGGAAAAGTATCACAAACTGCAATTTATTTGCTCTCAGGTCATTGCAATTAGGACCCGACCCATTCGGATATGCTCGCGGTTAATTTGAGCTCCAATAATTCGAGTACAGTTGAACTTCCATAAATGGAACCTCTCTGAGTCAAATATCTCCCACAGTTTATTTTTTTTTCCAAATCCCCGTCTGAATTCTTTTAGAAGCAATGCCTTTAAAAAAATCTTCAACTCCAAGACTTTTCCTCTCAAACCTCCGTAACTCAAATTTTCTGACGCCTTTTGGCCAGTATTTTCTTGACACAGGAAAGCGGGAAGCGAGACAAAATCAACAATATATGTTTGAAATATTGAAAAAGAAGTGAAAGACTAATTGGGCAAATGGCCCCTTGTCTCCACGTTCAGCATCCTTTAAACTCATTTAAGAAGCCATTTAAGGCCCAGAATATCACCATTTACAATTTCCTGCAATTCTTCTACCTTTAACAGAACAAAAATGCTTCTTTCCTAATTCTAAACCTCCCTAAGTCGATTTTTTTTTCTGGGCCCCTTGTAATTCGACTCAAAAGAGGTTCGACTGTATATATCCGTGATGTGAACAGTGCAGTTCCCATCATATAATGTATTCTATTTGAAAAAAAAAAAATCGTATTTTCTCTTTTGTTTTATTTTCGCAGAGTCGTGCTGACGAGGAACGGGAAATTCCCTCTGGGGTCCCGGTTCGTCACCAATTTCGGGTGGCGTTCGCACGTCCTGATCGACCCTGACCAGTTGCCGGGCACCTACGGCGGGGTGCAGCCGTACCCGGACTTGGGGAATTTGCCCGAGTCGCTGGCAGTCGGCGCTTGCGGAATGCCCGGGTAAACACGCCCGGCATTAGTCCTTGATGCTCCACTTACCACTGCAAATGAGCCCTCTGGCGTACCCGTCAGTTTACGACCCTGGCATTATATGGCCGGCCAACCGCCGACCGATTAATCCGGAGCTGTCGACCCGAGAAAATGCTTCGTTAAGGCTTCATCAGTCTGCTTCTGATATGCGCCCTTGCCCCTTTTATTCCGATTTCTGTTGATGCTGCCCCGAACTATGAATCTCCAAAGGGCCCCCCCCCCCCCCCCCCCCCCCCCCCCCCCCCCCCCCTTGTTCATGAAAGGAAGCGCGGAACAGGTCATCTCGATTTATGCCGGTAGAAATTGGAATTTCCTGATGAGGTTTCTTCCATTCATCCGCACAAACGAGGTCTGAATAACGAGCTAATTGTAATTCCGTGCATCACCATGCGGGTTGAGGACTGCAAATCCGTACTTCACCCCTGTAACCCCGGTTGAACCCACTCTTGGCAAGGTTTTATATATAGGTCAGGTCAATTTTAAAAATAATTTATTTTTGAGTCCGATGAGTCTACATTTTCCTTTATGAGAATTCAAATCACTGATGTGGGTTAGGGTGAAGCATTTTTTGCTTAAAACGCAAAAAAGTTTGGCTTATCGCATGAGAAAAATACCCGAGATGCCATATGTTGGAGATACATTTAAGTACCGCAAGAATTTTACACAACATCCTCATCTGAGCTACTGATGACAACTCTGAATGATGACGAAGTAGAAGTCCCATTCGAGATGACAACCTATAATATTGCTTAATGTCCATTTTAATCGATGAAACCTTGGCACAATTCGTTTTGCGGAAATATATTTTTTAAGAATGTACTCCTGATGTACGGACAGTACATGAAGATAATTTTTAAATGTACTGTGCATCGGACACAGAAAATAACTCCGAGATAATTGCCTTGAAATTTACGTTTAAAGAGCAAAATCGGTCAGTATAGCATTATTTGGCGAATTCTCAGTTTTTCTAGAGTACAAATGAATTAGCTTTATTCAACAGGAATTCATAATTTACTTTCTCCTTATTAACTGTTACTTTTCGAAATATATCGGGAGTGAAAATTCATTTATTTAAACGAGGATGTTTTGATGCTTTTTCAAAAATGAGACCGCCGGTCATTCGATGCTGAAGACTAGCACAATATTTCCTAACACCACGCTGAATATCAGGAAGTATGCCTTATATTACCCCAAGTAAGTTTCGTTTGAGCCCATACATCCCTCTTGATATTACCTTATTGTTTTACTTAGATTTCTGGATTCCTGTCTCTCCATTAATCTTCCTATAATACCCTTACTTTAGTTACCTCTTCACTGACCAGCAGCTTTATTTGAGGCTCTGCTGAAAACTGTCCTCCATCAATAGTCAACACCCTACATCGCAATTTGTAATTCATAAATTCAGCTTTGAAAACTTATTTTATTTTTTGGAGTTGCTAATTGCAGTATTTATTATGAGTTAGTATAACTTGATGCATTATTATTATTTGCATTCTGATTGCAGAAACACAGCCTACTTTGGTTTCCTGCGCCTGTGTCAGCCGAAAGCTGGAGAGACTGTCGTTGTGAACGCTGCCGCGGGCGCCGTCGGAAGTTTGGTCGGGCAAATAAAATGATGACGAAGTAGAAGTCCCATTCGAGATGACAACCTATAATATTGCTTAATGTCCATTTTAATCGATGAAACCTTGGCACAATTCGTTTTGCGGAAATATATTTTTTAAGAATGTACTCCTGAAGTACGGACAGTACATGAAGATAATTTTTAAATGTACTATGCATCGGACACAGAAAATAACTCCGAGATAATTGCCTTGAAATTTACGTTTAAAGAGCAAAATCGGTCAGTATAGCATCATTTGGCGAATTCTCAGTTTTTTAGAGTACAAATGAATTAGCTTTATTCAACAGGAATTCATAATTTACTTTCTCCTTATTAACTGTTACTTTTCGAAATATATCGAGAGTGAAAATTCATTTATTTAAACGAGGATGTTTTGATGCTTTTTCAAAAATGAGACCCCCGGTCATTCGATGCTGAAGACTAGCACAATATTTCCTAACACCACGCTGAATATCAGGAAGTATGCCTTATATTACCCCAAGTAAGTTTCGTTTGAGCCCATACATCCCTCTTAATATTACCTTATTGTTTCACCTAGATTTCTGGATTCCTGTCTCTCCATTAATCTTCCTATAATACCCTTACTTCAGTTACCTCTTCACTGACCGGCAGCTTTATTTGAGGCTCCGCTGAAAACTGTCCTCCATCAATAGTCAACACCCTACATTTCAATTTGTAATTCATAAATTCAGCTTTGAAAACTTATTTTATTTTTTGGAGTTGCGAATTACAGTATTTATTATGAGTTATTATAACTTGATGCATTTTTATTTGCATTCTGATTGCAGAAACACAGCCTACTTTGGTTTCCTGCGCCTGTGTCAGCCGAAAGCTGGAGAGACTGTCGTTGTGAACGCTGCCGCGGGCGCCGTCGGAAGTTTGGTCGGGCAAATAGCAAAGATACAGGGTATGTGTGCCCGAAAGATTCATCTGCTGGCATGTTTACTCATGAAACCTTCTTCCCCTTTGACCAAGACGCGACTTCTTACTGCGAAAGCGTTTGTCATGAAGGAACTTGAATCCCTCTTCTCTGAATCATTGGTTGATGCATTATTGTTAAAATTTTTTAGAGAATATCATAATTAACTGTCTATAAAAAGCGTTTCGCGGTGAAAATGTTTACTAGCTGTGTGTTCATGGTGCATTTAAAATGATCAAGTATTGTGTAATATGTTTTTATCGTTTCATGCTGTGAACGTTTCGATGAATATTTTCTAGCGCAATTTATTTCACGTACCGTATACGAGGTGCCGGAAATTTTCACGTATTCCTCCAGGACGCGGAGTATTTCACTTTTAAATTGAGGAATTCATTCTTTTTACGGAATTTCAAAGGCATGCAGACGTCTTGAGAAATGAAAGGAAATATTTGATACAGTAGTACAGTACAGTACTTATTCCTTGAATAACAACCTGCGGATAATCGAAGAAACATTATTAGACGACTGTGGCTCAGTCTGTTGTCCATGTCTGAACTGAACTGATTGATGATTGCAAAAGTAATTTCGATTTATTACAACGACGATTTCGGTACATTGAGGTCCCTGTTTTAGCGGTTAAGTAATTTCCAAAACATTTTCTGAATACATACGGCGGTAGCATCCAATGGGTAGGAAACAGAATGTGGAAAGTGAACTTGGAATCTTCTCTTGTCTGTAGTTTTATTTTATTTTTTATTTATTTATTTTTCAAAGAGAGATAATACTGCATCATTGTCTGCTAGTAAAGCAAATATTATTTCATCATATCTTGTTTGTCAGGAAACTCATACCAACCCTTTCCTTGTGCTGCAAAAAGTCCTTTTTATCGGTTAAGTTCATGACGCAATATTTTATGGCATGCAGTAATCCTGGTGTACTATCATAATAAATCCTGAACCCCGAATAATTTGTTTTGAATTCGTAAACATAGACATTCATTTTAGAAATACTGTACTACTACTAACGAGTTCGACCCAGCATTTTTATCGTTATCTCGTGATTTTTGAAATATCCCGGTCTGAATTTTCTAAAATGTAGGTCAGCATATTAATTTCACTTCTCTCTGTTTATGCGCGCTTGTAACAAGAAAACCGAGCAAAATAGAAAACTGACAACTGAAATAAAATAAAAATATTCTTGTCCGGGAATAAACTTCGATTTTATCCGAAAGACAGCATTTGGTATACAATACAGTAGTACTTGTATTATTGAAGCAGCAAAAATAATCGACGATAGACGGTAGATGTCGATAGTGACCCTGAACCGCGAGGGAAATCGTGATTTCCGAAAGCACATTTTGGTCATTTTTATATGAAGCCACCGCTAAAATGTATGACGGAAATTTTTGCAGGCATCCGCTGCTTCTTTTTTTTTTCTTCAGTTATTCGCCTACATGCGTCCGGCGGCTGTTTGCTCAGTTCCGCTACCTACCTTCTGGCAACTTAATCACTATTGCAAAGGTCGACTGTTCCACGCTAAGATTAATCTAATTGTGGATCGAGCAAAGATTTGTTCGAGCTGTGCTCAGGGGATTTCAACCGTGTGTCCCTCAGAATTCCCCCAGGATTTTTGGCTTGAGGAGGAATTTACCTTCCGTTCTGTTATTCAACCTTTCTTTTCCCCTAGTGCTTTCCCCTAGAAATACAGGGCATACGAAAAAAAATGTTAACCGACCTGTATCTGCAATTTTTAATAAATGCTACTAAAAATTGGATTGAGAAATTTAACCTACAATTTATGCTGTCTCTTTTTTTTCAAGTGATTCAAATTTTAATGTTCTTTCTGCATTTCTACCACGACCCGAACTTTAAAAAAATATTTTAAAATTTGCGAGATTTGTTCGGAGGTTTTCCATAAGTTCCCGTGAGGGGCACTGGACGTTTCTCGCATGTTTGGGGTGCAGGGTTTTTAATTTGTCAATCAGGAAAATTAATGTTCCTCTCTGAGAGCGATATTTCATTATTTAAGATACTTCGGGTTTGTCCTTTGAGTAATGAAACGATTTTTGCCTGGATAGATGCTTGTAAATCATGGAAAGGAGGTCGAAACTAGGTCAAAACTCGAAGGGACACCTTTCAACCCTTTCTATAGTGACACTTTTTTCAGTGGTATTTTTCGAAGTTCCGTGCTGGCACTGCAAATGATGCAAGTTTGAAATTTGTTTACTCAAAATAAATGTGACGTAGTTAATTTAAGTACAGTATTCTTATTCAAACATTTCAAATAATTCTCAAAAACAGATCTGATTTTAAAGTCCACCCTGTATATTCGCGGGAAAATGGACCAAATTCTTACACGAATCTCGGCAGGAACTCGTGAACACGGGATAGAACCTACACCCGTTCGCATGCTAGTACATTCCATTGGAAATTCTCGTTTTTATACGATTTTCCTTAAAATTTGTCTTGAGAAATGTTGGGTCACGTTTGCTTGAACCGTGTGTCCCTCAGAATTCCCCCAGGATTTTTGGCTTGAGGAGGAATTTACCTTCCGTTCTGTTATTCAACCTTTCTTTTCCCCTAGTGCTTTCCCCTAGAAATACAGGGCATACGAAAAAAAATATTAACCGACCTGTATCTGCAATTTTTAATAAATGCTACTAAAAATTGGATTGAGAAATTTAACATACAATTTATGCTGTCTCTTTTTTTTCAAGTGATTCAAATTTTAATGTTCTTTCTGCATTTCTTCCACTACCCGAACTTTAAAAAAATATCTTAAAATTTGCGAGATTTGTTCGGAGGTTTTCCATAAGTTCCCGTGAGAGGCACTGGACGTTTCTCGCATGTTCGGGGTGCAGGGTTTTTAATTTGTCAATCAGGAAAATTAATGTTCCTCTCTGAGAGCGATATTTCATTATTTAAGATACTTCGGGTTTGTCCTTTGAGTAATGAAACGATTTTTGCCTGGATGGATGCTTGTAAATCATGCAAAGGAGGTCGAAACTAGGGCAAAACTCGAAGGGACACCTTTCAACCCTTTCTATAGTGACACTTTTTTCAGTGGTATTTTTTGAAGTTCCGTGCTGGCACTGCAAATGATGCAAGTTTGAAAATTGTCTTTAATCAAAATAAATGTGACGTTGTTCATTTAAATACAGTATTCTTATTTAAACATTTCAAGTAATTCTCAAAAACAGATCTAATTTTAAAGTCCACCCTGTATATTCGCGGAAAAATGGACCAAATTCTTACACGAATCTCGAGTCCTTGAGCACTTGTGCCCTATCTTGGATGTGGGCAAGCGTACGATCATGTAAGGTAACCTTTAAGAGCAAAAATATGCTAAAAGGAATTTTAAACAGAACTCTTTACAACCCAGTGCAAACGAACTAGAATGTTGGCGGAACCATTGCAATTACAGATGCTTTAGGAAAAGACTGTTGCATTTAAACACACGAGAGGGTGTTCGTTTGAAAAAAAAGAAGAAAACGCATTTTAAAATACGATACATTCTGAATTTTGTTTTAATTAAGGCTGCAATGTCATCGGTTACGCTGGAGCTGACGACAAAGTGAAGTGGCTGAAAGAAGAGCTGGGTTTCGATCATGCTTTCAACTACAAAACGACTGATTTGGCTACAAGTCTGAAACAAGCTGCTCCAAAAGGCATTGATTGCTATTTTGATAATGTGAGTGACAATATTTATTGGTTTTCAATTTATTCAGTCCTACGAACGTCTGATTAAAGACGCTTACATGCTCCTAAAGAGAGTTCAATGCAGTCGTTTCTAGGAATCTTATAAATAAGTTGATGAGTTCACAGAAAAGCTCAGTCTTAGTTACCGAAGTTCGACGACATTTTAATTTCTATTCACTGAAAAAATAATAAACGAGCCTCTTCAGGCTTCCTCGATGATTTTCTTCACTGATAACTTCGTCTTCGTGCTAACAAATTTTTCTTTTAGGGCAGCCTGCGTATTCAGCAGCACAAAAGGGAAAATTATCGAGACGAGGAAACTTTTCGTTTGGGACATGGTTGTCAGATTTGAGTACAAAATTATCCGTAAAAAAATGTGTTCGTGTGTTTGGAATATTTTAGAACAATCATACTGCTAGAAAATTGATGAAAGATGCAAGAAAAGCCTGGCGTTATGCGGGGCTTACGTGAACTTTCAATTTTGTGCATTCTCACATAAAGTTAGACCCACTGTTTTTTAGTCTGGTCATTAACAGTACTTTACTAGTATAAAAATGAGCAATCTTTAATAAGGTTAGAGATAGGGAGGTATTCTTCGATACGTGCTCTGAGAGTTCTTAATACGACCGACCGTAGTATATGTCGAATAAACGACTTTTCTGAAGCTTCTCTAATCTTGCCGTCGTGACTGAATTTCCGTCGCAATGAGGATGATTATCTGTAGGCCTGGGAAATCTACTTGTCCTTTTCTTCCCGCTGTCATCAGGTCGGCGGTAACTTCAGCGCCGTGGTCATGTCGCAGATGAACAAATATGGGCGTATTGCTTTGTGTGGCTGCATCTCCGCGTACAACACCATCGACGATTTACCCATGAGTACGTCAAAAAATAAATTAAACTGGGTCCCCGCTTTAGGAATGACTTGTAAAAAGAGAGGAGCTGAGGAGGAAAATATGAAACTCACTTGACAAAAATAGATTCACATGGCGAAATTTTTCGGCAAAAAAAAAACGCTAAAATGTTACCATGTTTTTGTGTTGAAACTTCGGCATTTGTCAACAAATCGAAGAATTGACGGAAATAGGAGCATTGAGGCATAGGCGTGCCTCTTAAAATTTTGTGAAATTACAAAAGTTAGGAGCATAAACTTGTCGCGATTAATTTAATTTCATACTACTGTAATCCATTTTAAATTTACTACTCGATGCTGGAAACTAGGAAAATACATCACTGTCGTTAAGCTTTATTATGGTCTTTTGTGGAATGTTTGGAATAAATAAAATCCCGCACTGTAATTTACAATGCAATTTTAAGGAAAAATCGCGGGTTCTTGTTACAAAATTTCGCATTACGAATCACACCTAAGAATGTGCAGGTGGACTCTTATCTGCAACGACCTTTTTCTACAACGATATTCTCTCTCGAACGCATTATTTTTTGGTCCCTTATGGTAATCTTCTGATGTTATAGTGGTACTGTACACAACGAAATTCTGCCGAGAACGAATATTTTTCCAGTCCTTTGAATTTCTTCGTAGAGTCTACCTGCATAAGTTTAGTTTTGTGGGGATCCACTGTATTTTATTAGGGAAATATTGTCCTGGTTCCCATGCGTGCCCATTTCAGAGGATGATTATCATGAAAAAACTGCAAAGGAAGTTTAATGTGTAGCTGCTCTTCAACTACGTTATTTTTTCAAGTCCTCAAAACCCAAAACAGAAAGGTGTTCATAATGTTCGTCCTCTTGTAGCTTTCTTCTTTGTAAACTGCGTGTCTTTATAATCCCCTGAAGATACCACGCGTGAATCTCCACAGCTCCTCCTCCCTTTGTTATCGCACCCGTGAAACCCTATTTTGGAAGAAAATTGCGTTAATCTCCGCTGAAGGCATTGTAACGGAATTACCCGGGAATAACGCGCTGCCGCTGGTGGGGCTTCACGATTCCGCTGACTAATTCTTTCCTTTTTTTTGTGTTCCGCATTAGCGTCGCTTTTCGAACGTTGGCGACTAAGATAAGTTCCTCGAAGCAGAACTCCCGAAGTAACACTCAGCTACCCAAAGCCTTACCAAGCAGCCTACGGTAGTCTACTCTCTGACCTAGTTCCTCCATCAGTATACACAAATTTCGAACTTTCCGTTTTGGTATAAGAGGAATTCATTGTAAAAAAAGGGGCTCAGAAAATATTTTACAGTGCCATGTTCGAGTAATTTTTTTCCGGGTGCACTCTTCAAAAGATTACTTTTCCATGTACCGGGAAATTCGAAATGCTGTTATTTATCGTGACTGTGTTTCAACGCTGCAAAGTGCACTTTCTATATATCATAAACCTCCATGGTGCAGACGATGATCGTGCATTTGTGAAGAAAGATTAGATATAAACATCTTCGGAAAATGATCGAGTATAGTGTCTTGATAACCTGAGTTATTGTGTGCAGTTAGCCAAGAGAAGCAAAAATTTCTTGAGAAATAAGTAATCTAGTCGTTACAAGGCACTTTTTTTTAAATATTTTATAATGCGGTATATAAGAAGCAGAAGTTTCACTCAAGATTATAAAGCGATATGATCTGATGTAAAAAGCTTTATTTCTGCAAAACATTTTAAAATACTGTAATACTCTTCAAGATTTGACTGCGAATCAAAGTGGGAGTCGTTAAGTGCCCATTGGGACATTTATTGTTGAATAATTTATTTCTGCTTATCATAATCCCGCATTTCACATCGTTCTCAAAATTTCGAATTATTCGTTGACAAGATGCGAATTTTGAAAATCTGATCTGATTTTGTTTCACGCTTGAGTAGAGTTGATTAAAAACCTCGACAGCCACGAATTAATTTCTTCAGAATAAATTAAATGATCGCCTCACCTTTTTTTTAAACCGGTATTATTTTATGACGGAAAATTTCAAGCCTTTTCAGGTCAGCCGTCCAATTTTTCAAGCCTTGGAACCTGAGAAATTGTGATTGGACAGTTTCTAATTAGCAGGATATCTGGGTATTTTCATGAATGAATTGAAAGTTGTGGTTAGGATTCGTCTGCAATAAGTTTTCCACTGACGTCAATACACTCGCACAATCGAAATATTTTATATCTTCGCAATTTTGAGATTTGATGGTTGATTTTCTCCAGGGCAAGATCAAGTACAGAGAAACGATTTGGGAAGGAGTGGAAAATTTGCCGAAAGCCTTCATGGGACTGTTCCGTGGAGAGAACACTGGCAAAGCTATCGTCACTGCTTGAAAATATAAAAATCGGGAAGAAAAAAGTATCGAAGGGAAACCCGAATTCCGTCTTCGCAGTACTGTACTGTACTGCACTTGCCTTTTGAGACGACGCGTGTACAGCATTTTCTCGAGTTCTTTGACGTTTCGAGGAATTATGTTTCTGGCTTTACCCATGCTGTAGGAGTGATACTACCAAAGACCTTTATACAAAAGACTGCGAACTCGGCGCCTCTCATTACTTTTAATAGCAATAGCCTTTCCTTTATACGCCTACTTTTAATAAGACAAAAAAAAAGGAGCCTAATTTTAATTTTTTTGCATTGAGGGAGCCAATAATCATGAATTTGCATCTGAGCACTGTCAAAATCAAGGATTCTTAAGTATTAACTTTGCGTAAGGTTTTCGTTTGGTTGAAGTCATCGTAAAAGGCAGAAAAACCCCATAGCATTGTCTGCAATCAATGACATGCACTGGTTAATGCTAGTGTTACCATATAAAAAGACATGCAGTGCATGTACTGTACTTGTTCAACAATAAGAAGTCAATTAATTGAAAATGGTGTCTAGGGTTAGGCGATTTTAGGTGAAATTTTGAAGCTGCGAGATTTCTGAGTGACTGAATATTTTATTTCTGAGTCACAACATGTATTTTTAGAAATTTTCCGACATATGTAACGCACGCATTTTTGATCGCTGAGTACTGCACAGTGTACTCTCAAGTCTCAACTGGTTTACTGGAGTAACCGTCAGCTGCCTGCCACACAGAGAAGTGTGCTCATTCCCAAAGGCCCGAAGAAAATATGAAAGTGTTTCGTAAATCAGCTTAGGTGTCGCTGCCAGTTCATCGCAAATTCACAGCTCGTCTATGTACGATGATATACAGTACGTACATCATACATCATAAAGACAAGATGCAAGGGAAACTGTACTTTTCCTGCTTTTACGCGCTTTTTTAAATCTATGGAATGGTGATTTGACGTTGGCTTATCTGCTTCCTAGATTGCGTTGATTGAATAATATATTTTTTGCGTGCAAAAATTCGATTTATGCACGGCAATCTGTGTGCCATGTTTTATGAAGGGGAAATTTTATGCATGCGTGTAATAACGCAGAGCACCTTTTTTCAATTCGAATAATTTATTAAAATTTCTCTACACTAAATGGAGCCTAATTTTCTGCTATTAATGCGATAAAAACACTGGCAATATAAAAAAAAATTGAGGAAATTTATCGACGTTGGCGAGAAAAAAAGAGGGACTAAGGTCGCGTCAAGGACACGAAATTGCTGTTCTGACCTCAATCATCATATTCATCACTACACAAGCGGGCGACGATTCCCATTAACAATGCTCCAACAATTTCGCTATTCAACAGATGACAGTTCCTCAAAATGAAGTCCTTCTTACCTGAGCAACTCAAAAAGTAAAGAAACTTCGATTTCGTACGAGGACGTCCACAGAAAAAATCTTTCGTCCTCAGTTGATAAAGGAGGAACGAAAACCAACAGGAAAAATAAATCAGGTAAAATGAAGAAATAGCAATGCAAAAAAATTCGTCCGAATTTACGGCTATTTAAAATTTGTTAATAAGGAATGGCGTCCGAGAGTAATTATGCCGTGCGGTCGTAGGACTCTTGAAACGCATCTCATTCTCCGCTAATTGCTTCATTTATTTTTTGCGAAAGAAAGCTCAACATTTCAGTCGAAAGTTTCTGCAAAACCCTCGCGAATCATCGCACGAGTCAGTGCCAGCTCGTCATCCGCTTCATGCTGGCCAAATTGCGCATTCAATTACCCATTAAAATCCGATTCTTCCACCATGACCCAATATCGAATCAATTCCGCGCCAACATTCGTCTCTCTCTCTCTGGGAATCCGAGAAACACGGGATCCTGATCTCCACAGGTGTCACTCGCAAAATCAGAGAAAGCTGCTGTCATCGGGACGAATTCGGCGGGCACGTATGGGGACTGGAGAGATGATAAAAGATGTGGCCAGTGACGCACGTGCGGTCAGTCCGCGTCCGGAGTCTCAAAAGTGTCGGTTCTTTATTGCTCTGGTTTGGTGGCATTCGCAAGTCACACGAATGACGTTTTCATTCGAATGTAGAAGAGAATTTCCGCGATGCAAATTGGCTTTGAAAATTAATGCGAATTTCGCATCCAGCAATGGCATTTAATATCCAATGCCGATGAGCATTTCTCAGTTTGATTTGAAACAATCAGGGCTCGTATTATAAATGCATTCGCGTTTCAAATTCCGTGTCTTCCTTTTTTTTCGTGATTTTCCAGATCCACAGATGTGAGCCCGAATGCTTCTTACCAATTTTTTATGGTGGACTTTGGCTTTGAAAATTAATGGAATTTTGAATCCAATGGCAAATAATATCCAATGCCGATGAGCCTCTTCTTATTCGATTTGAAACAATCACGACTCATATTATAAATTCGATCGCGTCTCGAATTCCGTGTCTACTTTTTTTCCGTGATTTTCCAGATCCACAGATGAGAGCCCGATTGGTTCTTACGAATTTCTATGGTGAAAATGGGATTTAAAAATTAATGCGAATTTGAATCTAATAGGATCTAATGTCCATTTCCGATGAGCCTCTTCTTAGTTTACTTGAAACAAATCAGGGCTTATGATATCAATTCGATCGCGTCTCGAATTCCGTGTCTTCCTTTCTTCCGTCATATTCCAGATCCGCAAGTAAGAGCCCGATTGCTTCTGTCCACCACAATCTACATGAAATTTGTTTTTGAAAAAATCGACGAGGCTTTAGGTTCAAGTATATATGAGCTAGAATCCTGAAATATCTAAGGCATCTGATGAGCTGCTATTTAAAGTATGAGTAAAAGCATATATGGCGTGACCTGCTGGTTCTGTGGAGATTGTAAATCTCTTGTTTGCGAACAAGTTTATTTCAACTACAGTGGCGAAAACATACATGTAAGTAGGTCCTATAATGAGATCCCGTATGGTGGGAACTGTTTAATTTCATAGCACTATATACTAACTACAGTACGTCAGTGTCAGGTTCCTGTTTCTGTAATATGTGGTGTGAAAACAGGTTCTGTTCCTTGAGTAAATTCCTCATAAGTAATTCAAGCCTACGTTTGAAAAAATTAAATCCAGGGCTTTTATTAGGACAAGTCTTACGTATTGAAAATTAAAGAACTAGAAAAGTTATGGAGTAGTATTGACGTGAGTGCTGAAAATTGCGAAAAGGTGAATGAATCATTCTTTTTAATTATCGCATCGTTCAGCAAAATGAGATCAGAAATTTATTAAAATTCAAAATCTTAGACATTCTGGCATGACAAGATAAGAATGAAACATGCAGAATTTTAAAATCAAAAAGATGAACGGTTCTTTTTCACCATGCTGGTACGGCTTTTATTTAAATTTAGGCGTGTATATGAAATAGCCATATAGCAGCCATCAAATTAAGGGCATACATGAAATTGAATAAGAATTTCATTGGAGTCTTACTTCAATGAATCACCGATTGCCTTGCAATATCTGTACAATGCATGAAATACAATTTTGGTTCGAGAATGGTTAGGGAATTCTGTGGGCCACCCTGTACAAGCAATCAAAGACCTACGATTTCATTTAAAATAAAGGACGATAAGATGAATGTTTCGTAAACCTTTTTTTCGTTGATGATTTAATTTAATCTTATATAAATGATAATGTGCTGCAGTAGTTTTAGTATTACCTCCCAACTTCTTCAAATTATTCAACGTTTCCGAGAAATTCTGTCTTTCCTGACGATATATGCGTAACCTTGAAGAGTAATGGTTGGAAGTTGAGTAAACGCGTTTGCTTCAAAGTAAATCTTCTACATTCTATACATGGATTTCGCAAACCTTTTACGCTATTTGGTCCGAAGTCGACATTCATCGCCGACGAAGAATTGTGTCACTGCTCTCGAGCCGTAAAAGAACGCGTGACACCGTTGCATACATTTGTGATTACAATTTTTCAGCCCTCAAACATTCCTCTTTAAATCGTCACCGATTTTCCCCCCGGAGATTTCACACAGTCAGTTTTCCATATATTTTTTTGTATAATTTGATGTGACACCAGCAGCGACAGTTTGATAGGATAAAAGATTTTCGTGGGATGATTTATGTCCCCAGAGGTCAGCGTGTCGGTTCATCGGTGCTTCCGGATTTTTCATCCCCGACTTTTAACTTCCTAGGTCGATATTCTGTTTTGATGAACTGGTGCAAAAAGCGTCGGTTCGTCGTGTGTCGATAACCGCGGGACATTTGAATGACCTCGACCGTGAAACGACGGGCAGGAAGATTGCGTATCACAGGAAATTGCCCCGGTTTCGTCGGAGTGTTTCCACAACAGACATCTCTCATTAAATGAAATTTGAAAAAATATAGAACAATTTAATTTTGAAAGGGACGCGGTTTATGTGGAAAGATCGTGAATCATCCATCTAACAGTGCTGACTGAAAATAGAAGTTCCAGCCAAGTTTTGAATAATTCGCGTAGAAAATGAATGTCCTCGCCGCTGGGACTTTTTCAGAGATGATAAAAAATTGCCAACTGCAGATTTTCAAGTACAGTATAAGTTGAACATAGCGGTACTGTATTCACTTCATATTTTCTGTGAGTCCCGTTGACAAGAAAGATCCATGTTTGTGAAACACTGGCTTTCATGTTCAGATATCAATTAAAATTTGATTAAAATATCCGATTTACGGATTAGGAACTATTGTTCAAAAGATTTTCGAGTGTCATGAAATTAAGTTTTTTGGACAACCTAGTTCATGACTCACTACAGAATTCCAGTAAACAGTTTGAAATCTCTGAAAACTTTAAGTAAAGCTTTGCTAGTTTTTTACGATTCTCAATCGCAGTTTGAAACTGAAAGTTACTCGGCCAACTTCTGCTCATCAAATACAATTTCGATACGAGTTCAGATTAAAAATCCACAGAAAAATTGCCATTATCAGAAAAGGTGTAAAATTTCAACAATTGATGGATTTTAAAATTAT